TGGAAGCTGACAGAAACATCCAAGCTTTCCTGCTTCAGGACAGCATATACCTCAACTAACTTTGCAGCTTTTAAGCAAAGTCAATCCAATAGCTCATTCAGTTACCTGAGGAAAATATCTTACTAACTTGTGAACCATTTCTATCTGTGTAAGAGCATCAGCATGCTCATGCAGCCCCTCAGAGGAATGCTACTGGGTACCACCTGCTACATGATGCCACAGAAGAAGTCCTTGCTCGAGAACATACACTGACTATGTTGTTCTGAGCAGTGGGGCATGCTCCCTGACCAGGCCTGTGTTATCTCACTGACCACCACCGACGTGATGCCTGTGGTTACTGTACATGGGAACATCAAACACTGCACAGCCATGCACTCTGCATCTTTTGACTGAATTTCCATAAGAATTTTTCTGTGGAAATACCCTCCATTCGAAGAAAAGAAAAAAAGGTGGAGGAGAGGTAGGGAGGAAGATTTCTTTTGCAAGAACTAGGGTATTTTCACTAAGTAAGGCTGCCCCTCGTGCAGTGAGAAAACCCAGCCTTGTCAATAGCAAATTTCCCCCCACCGAACATAACATCCTCCTAAGCTGTCTCAAAGGCACCCCATTAAAAGATATAAAAAATAAAACGTCATAGACTAGTTAGTAAAGTCGGGGTTTAAACTTAATGCCAAGTTGCTGTTACCCTTACAGATCTCCCAGGAAATCTCAACAGAGCTGTTCCCTGGGATGCTGCAACCATAGCCAGGGGGCACTCAGATGTATCCAACATAATCCTTCGCCAGTAGAATTATGCAAGGTTTCCGCACAAAGCCAGGTGCAGCCACAGCAAAGTCCACATTATGCAAGGGCAACCCTGCATACTCATCTCATTCCTCCTCAATGGGAAAGGCTTAAAATCTTGATCCAGGACTGGGCTTTAAGAAGTCCCAGCTACTTATGCCATATCTATGACATCCATATCTTTTGCCTCCAACTGCTGTTGTGTATTTAGTGCTGAGGGAATCGAGACTGGTGATTTATTGCCATGGGAATCAGGAGTTGCTGAATCTGGCAGAAAGACCTAAGCTGAACTGTGGGCACTAGCTAGGACCCAAGGGGCTGTGGACAAATGCCTGCTCTGCCACAGGCTTCATCCCATGGGTAAGGTGTTTCTCCCCAAACCCCCAGTAGTATCCAGGCACCAAACGACATGGAGGTAAGCCAGGTGCCAAGGAATTTAGAAAAATTAAATCTTAAACTTCTTTGGGATTCTGGTTCCCCCACTGAACAAGGGAAAAGAGCACTTCCTTGCCACCTCAGGCTCTTGGGAAGAACCTGAGAGACAGGGAGAGATCACACAGCAATCTGGTGGTAGAGCAGTGAAGGAGCCATTTCACGATCAAGGACATGCAGAAAGGCAAGGGACAGGAAGAGACTGACAGGCCAAATTGCCCAGAGCTTAAGTAACAAAATGAGCGATGCTTGTTGTTTCTGTGCCCTTCCTTTGCTGAAGGCACAAGAGACAACACTACCCCTGCCCGAAAATACATCCTTCCTAAGCCAGGCCTTGTGGCATTGCGGCTGCTGCATGCCAGGAGGTGCTTCGGCCTAGCCACTGGGTCAGGGGCCTTTGAGGAAGACAGTTTGCATACTCCAAGCAGTGAGAACAAAACGTACAGGCTAAATAACTTAATAATCAGAAATGTACCTTAGGCAATTGGTGTTCTACCCTGCTCTGCTGCCCTTCATTTGCTGAGGTGAACAATGAATTAAATTATGCTTAGCCGAGGGGGAAAAAAAAAATCTGGTGAATTGTGTGAGAACATCCCATCTTGGACATGAGGCAGGAGTATTTTTGAATAGCAAGCATAAGCTTACCGTTGGTTGAGTCACAGTTTTGGAGTAGTACTTTCACCCTAAATATAGATTACTCAAGGGCTGGGGGGTGGACTTACCAGATATGAAACAAAAACCTTTCCTTCCTCAAAAACCCTAGCACACAGGTAAACTGTTTGAGGGAAGTTTAAAATGAAATTCCATGAGAACATATACTAATGAAGCAGTGAAGGTGACACAAGAGGGGAAAAAAAAAAAAAAAAAAAAAAAGCTATACAACACTATTATTTACTCATTTTGGAAAACAAGCTGTTTACTAAGCATTTCAGAAGAGAAGACATTGACATTATTTCTATGTCGATGGACTAGATGCTCAATGCACTAGCTCAGGACCTCTGGACTAAGGTGAAGCAAGGCGATTCCTATCTGAAAAACCTCAGAATACCTAAAGGACATTTAAGTCCTCACTCTTACACAGCTGCTCAGGTTTATTCCTGCATGCAGCTCCTTGGAAGTCCCCATGACTTTATGACTGAGTCCTGCCCATTGTAGCCTCTCTCTTCAAATTAAAACGCACCAAAGAGAAGTCTTGCACTTTAATTAACTTCAAGCCTGTAACTTAAGTGTTGGTTTCTCTTATCCACTAGCTCTGCTACCATTTCTCCTTTGACTGTGTGTTTTACCATATACACGAAAAGGTGAATTAATGCACCTCCTCAGAGCTGGGTTACATGGGACACCAAAGCAAGTGAGCAGAGCTGGAAATTTAGATGCACAAGATTGCACAAGATCCTAGCTTAAACACTTCAAGCACTCATAGCATGGGTTGCTCAAAACACAGCAGGCACTACCTTGCACCAGAGCACACACAGGGCAGAATGAATCCACACTGCAGCTTCACCCCAGCTTAAAACCCACCTGAGCACCAACAATCCCATCTCACTGTGAAGCAGCTCTATGAGTTAAACTGGAGATTTGCATTTGCAATTAATATGTGTTCAGTTCCATTGTGACAAGTTATAATATTAGTTGGCAGCCATATCTCCACAAAGAACTGCCAGGCTTAGTAGAAAGTGGTTGTCAAGTTATTTTTTTATTTTTTTTTTATTTGCTGGGAAAAATTATTAAGTAAACAAATAGTCCTCAATTCATTTTATAAATAGTTATTCTTCATGGATGAACTGAAAGCTAATTATGGCTTGGCATGCCTGTGTTGTTTTACTTTCCTCCCACCCAATGCTGGAAAGACAAAAGCTTTTCTTAGTGGGTGCATTAATACATTATCTGAGGCAAAAATTGGGTATTATGATCTCTGGGTGGATTTCCTAGCTAGCACTGGCCGCAGGCTTCCCCTTGCTGACCCTGCAGGATGCTGAGCAGCTTCTGGACTGGCCCTGCTTTCAGCAGCATCTGGACCAGGTCACTTCCAGAGATTCCTTCCACTCTAAATTATTTTACAAGTCTATGATTTTATAGCCTTTGTCACAATCACAAGTTGACGTCAGTCATACAATCTGGCAAAACACTGAAACCTGATACTAAGACCGGGAGCAAGTTTCATCCATATTGCCAGTTTTCAGAAGCAATTAAGTGCACCAGCTTGTAATTAGTTTAATTTCATCTTTGTGCCTTTCCCACCACTACAAAGCACCACACAACTTGCATGGGGCTGGTAATAGATCAAAGACCCACAGGTGAACCACATCAGGAGGGGCCAACACAGCACAGAGCAGGCATGCCACTGGATACCCCAAGAATTTGGCTTTGTGGTTTGGGGTCTGAAAGCTATTCACTGGTGTGACCATGTTTTGCTCTGAATCACTCAGAAGTTGTCTCATTTATGTAACCAGATAGGCAAAACTTCAGGTCACACAGACCCTCAAGGGACAAGGCAGAAAGAGCACATGGAACATCATTCACTAGAAGGGGGCTATCAGGATCACTAGAGGATCCCATCACAAAACTTCTCCAAACTAAGCCATTAACTTAATTTCTAAGGAAGCAGCCCAAATTGCTACGGAGCCAAATCCTTGTAGGACAGCCAGCACAGACCAGGCACTGCCTACCCCTAAGGAAATGAGAGGAGAGAGCAAAAGAGAGGTAGAGAAAATGCTGCTAGAATTAGGAGAAAATGAAAGCAGTAGGGAATTTCACACTGACACCCTAGTACACCTGGGACTGACTTTCAATGAGCATAGTAAAGCCAAGCACAAAGTGCAATACATGCCAGCAGTTAACATCACACAGATTCAGTCACTCACCTGGGCTGAGGCCCAGCACTGCTGCCCCTGCAGCCACCTAGGAAGGGAGGGCATCTGGGTTTACCAAGCCTGGTGTCCTGACCTGGTGCAGGGAGAGCTCTATCTCCATAGCAGCAAGGCTGACCTCATCACAGACCAACCTGATTTAACCTAAACTAACCTGAATTAGAACTCCCAGGGGCACCTGCCAGCTTGTTTGCAATCACAAGGGATTTCCAGCCCTGGCGTCCTTCCAAGACCTCCCCAAAAAGTCATGTGTGTCAATTCTTAACTAAGGTCCATCATTTTCTTCCCCAAAACTTACTAACAAGAGGCTTCCCTGCCCTCAGCCCACTTGGCACCTGCTGATGGTGACAGACAAGGGTGCTGAGAAGGGACCCCAGGGATGTGACTCAGACTTGGGGGTTCAGAGCAATGCTGGGATGGAGTTTAGTGTCCTTGTACCAAAATGTCCTGTTAATTTTTTACTTAATTGTCCATCCTGGCTCCAGCTATAAATCTCCACAAAAAGAATCAAGTTAAAAATTGTCTTATGCATAGGGACACTCCCTGAATAGACACTGCAGGCAACACGTGTACTGTCACAATGGATCTGTATATTTAAGTCAATTATTAACTCAGTGATGCACATGAGTGCAGTGATAAACATGATGGAGTTTAAGGTCTTGCCATTCTTCCTGTGCTTACTGAGTGTTAAATAAGATTTTTATTTTTTTTTACTGCATGCCTTTTATATTTATTATGTCTTATTCCACACCTGAGCTCTTCTCCATACATATCCCCATATTCATTCAAACAGGATGGGTGGCAACCGGTCATAACTTTATCACGAGTCTGCTCATTTGGGGTTATCTGAGTTCTGCAATGCTGCAGTGTCATGGGGATTTCATTTTAAAAGCCTGTTTAAAAGGGCCCCTGATGGCCATTCCCTTCTGCTGATGGACCCTTCCCACAGGCCCTGGTGGACCTGGCAATTGGGCTAACTCTCCTCTATAGCCACTGAGCCCTGATGAACACAGACATTGCTGAGGGACTTGTTCTCAGTTTGGGCTCCTGCTCCTTGTCTTTGCACCACTTGGGCTCATCGGCTTTGCATGTAACTGTGTTTTTTAAGGACTTCTTCACTGACAGAGAAAAGAGCCATAACCTGTGGGTGTGGGAGCCTGAAAGGTAATGGATTAATGCTATTTGGTGGTGTTTGAAGGAGAGGAAAAAAATTGTTTCATTGCTTAAAGTAGGGGTTTCCAGGAATTAAAAGGGTTGTTTTCTCAAGTGCTTTGCTTATGTAGCTGTCCAGTATGTGACCGTTATCATAAGAATTAGATAAAAAATTCAACTGTTGTATCAAGAATTGGAAAGTGGGGAAAAAAAAAAAAAATTGCATCACACATGTAGGACACAGCAGGATCCTGCTGAGCTGTGTGTGCTGGGCAGGACCACACTGGTTCCCCTCCCTCGGACTCCATGCAGCTCCCTGTGGCTTCTGCTCTGCAGGATGGGCATTGTGCTGCCTCAGAAACAACACAGGAGGATCAATGCTCTTTTTTTCTCACAGGTTGCTTGCTGAGTCATTTCTGGCAAATGAATTCTGAAGTGAGTCAACAGCTTGTTGCCACTTTGTCCTTGTGGTGTTAAAAGTGATTCATGCTGGGGTTTAGGTGGAAGCTAAGTTGCTTCCTTGCCATGCTGACTGTCAACTAGTGGTGACTGTCAGCTAATTGCTTGAATTTGCCTTGGAAAACCTTGGAGACCATTACTGGGGTTCAGCTCCAGTCCACACAGGGTTATATAAAACAGGAATAGAACACCCCTGCCCTGCTCCTACTGCTGCAATAGCATGCATATCCCCACATGTGAACTCTCCATCATGGACAGTCTTCAAGGTCAAGCCAGACAATTATCCGCTGTGAACATTGATAGACAACCCCCTGATAATTTGGGGGCACATTTGCTACCATCATGAAGCAGAACAGCTACTCTGTCATGACTTCACATGAGCAAGAACATCCTTAACCCAGCAGCTGCCTTAACCCACTCTCCAAACGATCCTGGAATAGATTGAGCAGTTACCCGTGGACTCTGTGGAACAATCCCACCACCCATCTTCAGCCATCGTTTAATGCTGGTATCATGAAGTGGCCTGTGTTGTCCATAGAGAGACACTGTGTCCTCCAGAAACCAGTAAGCAGGGCCTAACTGGAAGGCTTGGGTTCCCGATGTCCAAGCACCCAAGCTAAGCTGAGGAGGCCAGTAACATAAAACTCTCCTCCCTGCCTTTGTTACCAAACCTGTGGAGTTAATTTGCTCATTTAAACAGCTGCAGAGCAAGGTGTCCTCCTGAGCAGGCTGTTGGTAGGTTGTGCTGCTAAGCAAGGTGCTCAGGAGGGGGACACGTGTTTTTGATCAGTGACAGAGAAGTGTGCATATTTATTTGGCAACAGGCATGCCTCTTCTGCAAGTATGGCAGGGGTCAGCAGAGCCAGGAGGCCAAAGCTTTTTAAAAAGCAAGGCAGAATGCCTTTTCCTTTCCCCACTGGTTAACTTCAGCAGTCACCAAATTTATCCCCATGTTCTCACTTGGGCTTTCAGGCCACACATGTGAGAGTACACAAATATGGCTGCCTCAGGAAACAAAAGTTGTGGCCACATAGGCCCCACCATGAAATGAGGTAAATATGTTGGAAACAGGAAACTGTGGGCGGTTCTGGAATAATTTTTTGCCCGGGACAATGTTCTTTGTCCTCAGGACAGCTGTGCCAGAGCATGCACTTGGCTTAATGTATGCAGTCTCCATGCTTTCACACTGAGCTTTCCTTCCCTGGGTTGCTGCAGCCACGCAGCCTCAGCCACTCTTTTCTTCCTGCAGAAAGTCACACGCTCGTTTTTCACTCAACTTTTCCCTGATTTTCCTCCCACAGGTTAAACTATTAAGTGATGTCATGGAGATCTTAATTCCCAAAGTGCTGCCAACCTTCCAGAAATGCTTCCTTCTGGGAGATGCTAAGCTTTGATAACACTTTCGTGAAGAAATTCCTCCTGGTGTTGCATTTGCTCGAGGCCATCTTACATGTTTCTAGCACCTCTCTTCTCTAAAGCATAGTCATCATTTCATAGAATTTTCACCCTTGGAAAATGATTTCTCAGTCACTAATATTCTTTCTTCCATCTGTGTTATACTTGCTTAGAACTTGTTATCAGTGAAATCAGAATTGAGGCATTTCTAAGCTGCAAAATGGATAGCAGCACTGTTTGCAACAGGATTTTAGGATTAAGAATATATTGCAAAAGAAAATAAAAAAAGTGTATATATAAATAATATAAATATTCACAATAAGCAGCCCTTTTAACATGTCTACAGACATCCTCAGAGGAAAATGGAGGGATTGGGGCCCTGTGCCTCTACACCCACAGTGGTAAACAAGCAGATGCCAGTTTAAAAGTCCCAATGTAAAGACATAGGTGAACTGGCACCTGGGGGGACCTTATCCAGGGTGGTGGTGTACCATCTTTTATTGCTTCATTTTGCTTTATTTAAAACATTTTTTTTTCCAGTTGTCTGTTGTCCTTACTCAACAGACCCCCGAGTAGATTTTACTTGCTGCTATAACTTACCTGCATAGTGTAATATCGAGTATCATTCCCACTTATACCTGAGTCACATCACTACTCTCCATGAAATGGAAGAAAAGACTTGGTGGGGTTCTTTGGTTGTGATTTTGTGTGTGAGTGATAGCCAGGACAGACACTACAGCCCGTCCTGCTTCCCTAGGCTCATTGTAGCACTTGGTACCTCAGTTCCTTCCTGAAACAGAAGAGGTTGGTGCATCCCAAAGCCCAAATCCCAACCCAAACCCCTGGCCATGCTTCTATGGGGAGCTGAGCAGCCTTTGTTCATCAGAAATGCTAGTTTGACCAATGTGGGACAACTAATCTTTGCTGTAATATACTAAATAAATCATTGCAGGGTCAAATCTTTCCTTTTAAAGTAGCATTCTTTCACCCAATGAGCATGAGGGAAGGTATTTTTCTACCTGCTCCATAGTTGTGACTAATCCTTTTCACTGAAAGACTGCATTGTTTCATAAATTGGAAAACTAATTCTGAAATGTTTGCTTGCTGTTGAAGATTTATATGAGATTAGGCCACAGCTTTGGCTCAGCAGCTCCAGTGTTAGGCCTTGGCTCTCCTCACTCATGACCAGCTATTTTCAGCTCCTGTCCAGCCATAAACACGGCTGCTGCTGACTTCTGAGTGTGTTCCCAAGATCTTTTCCGTATAAGCTTCTGTATTGCTGTCTGTACTACAGTAATTAAAATGTGCAGCATTACCTCTTTCTCTGCCATTAATGTCCCTTTATCAGGCAATTCTAGATAATCTTCTGACCATTTTTGCATTTAACAATGCCTGCCAGCACATGGGTTAAGCTTACAGTAGAGGGACGATTTTGCATGGAGCTCAGTTGGAAGCACCCATGCCAGCAGCTGGTGTGTGCAATCCTCAGGTGCACCTCACGTGGGGTGTCAGGGAGGGATTCACCTCTGTAGTCCCACAATCCCTGGGGATGGCTCCTGCAGGGGATAGCCCTCCTGAAAAATACTCATCCACCTGCCTCTAGAAACATTGTCCTTGCTGTTACACTTCGCATATGAACTTACGTTACACAGAGGCACATGCTACATTTTCTAGTTTCGTGATTCAAATATTCCAGCAAAATAAAGGAGCCAAAATTTCTCTTGAAGTCAAGAAGCACCCTGATGTGGTAGAATATCCATTCCCTCTCCTTTACCTTAATGGCAAGTTTGGCTGCTGGAAGATAACATTTTCCAGGTGGGCTCCATCTTCTCCAAGTGGAGACAGCAGACATCTATCTCAATTTCTTGAATGTGTGTATTATTAGAGCTATGTCTTGCCTTTAGAGGATGCTGAAATGCTTTCACCCAAACCTCTGGGAATGTCCAGACCTCACTACCTCTTCTCCGGCATATCTAACAGCATCTAAATAGCACAGAGCATTGCTATCAGGAAGGACATTTTGCTCATCTTTCCTGTCACCAGTCTCTGAAATACCTGTGTCCTCTGCTTAGCAAGCCCACAGCCAGCTGCTACCTAACCCAGTTTGTGTTCTCTCTGTTGCTGCTTCAGTAAGAATTAGGCACTTCTCCCCATGCCCGGACTCAGATTAAATGTGATCTGCTCTCTGCATTGTGTTGCTGAGAAATGAATTCAGTCCCAATGAGAAGAGAATAGCTGCAGGACATTTGGCTGTTGCTGACATTCTCGCACCAGCACTTTGCAAACTGCACTCCCGCTGATTCTGAGAGGGCACTCAGCACCTTACAGCTGCCGATGCACGGCTTTCCTGCACCCATCCATGCCGAGCAGTGCAGAGATGAAACACACACTTCTTACAAACGGGTTTATTTGCATTTTGACTGGAGCACAGATTCTAGATACAGATTTCTTCTGCACAACAGTACAATAGCCAGTGCAAAATATGCTTTTTTTTTTTTTTTAATTCATGTACAAAAAAACGAACAAACAAAAAGACAAAAAGTGTGGCAGTATTTACTCACAACTGGTACGCCTCAGCCTCCAATCTACCCACCTCCACTCACCCTCGCCCATCACGCCAACTTTGGGGTCAGCATCGCCCATCTCGAATGGCTGCATTGTCAGTGAACAGAGGTAACTCCCATAGCCCTTTGAAAGATAAACGCTCACCCCAAGCAAACTGGGAAAACAGCAGGCTACTTAAGAAAAAGTTAGGCACACCAGATGCTTACCAACACATCCCCCCACAGGGAGCAGAAGAATTTTGAGGGAATGGCCAAAAAAAAGAAAAAAAAGTACAAATCGGAAATGCACAAAAAGCTAGGCACCAGCTTAACCCCTTTTTTAAAGAGAGACAAGGATGTTAGCATACACCTCCAGTCTGCCTTCTGCTATTCACCTACAGTAGCTATGATCAACACCAAACACACACTCCCCACTTTGAGTACCCTGTGCTGTCAAGCAGATTATAATCTTAAGAAAATATCTGTAGTACTACCATAAAGTAAAACCATTTAATAATTGGAGGAGAAAGACAAGCTACAGTCTGAATACAAGTATTTCTCTGAGAACAGTCAAAAACAAAAACAGAGACAAAAAAAAACTGTCCCAGTCATCCACCAGATGATTGCTAGAATTACAGCCAATGCTTAAGCAATACAACATCAAGCTAGGAAAGTCACCGTATGGCTATTCAGCTTAGGAAGTAGCTTTGACTAATTTACAAAGCTTTGAGCTATCTATTTCTCTTTAACTTATTTTCAGAAGCCGCACTATAGAGCTGCAGTGCCAGTGCAAGAATATACTCGTCTTCACCAAGGCCTGGAATTTATATTGCAGAAGGTCATCAAATTTACATCACTCCAAGTGGACCATCTCCAAATCACCTAGAGCTGCTATTATGGACTTTTACATTTCTGCTCAAGGAATGACTGGGTTTCAAAGCTTGACCAACAAGAGTTCTTTACATTGAAATGCAATTAAACAAAGCAGAGTACCAATTAAAGCCAAAGGACACAAGTACTCAGCACATATATGTGTTGATACAGTACAGTATGTATGTGTATATATATATATGCATAAATATGTTTATGTTACATTACAAGGAGAGTGCCATTCAGGACTTCTCAACTGCAATAATCCTTTTACTACCTGCAATTCCTGAAAGTTCTGTCCATTAAATTTCACACCAGGACAATTAAGAATTTCAGTGTTTTCCAGATTGGATTATTATTTAGATTTTAGCCAATTAACCAAGCAGGGTGCTGAAAGAACAGGAGCATTAATTTTACAAACACCAGTCCTGCCACCTCAGGCACATGGCACAGATTTCTGTCACCAAATTATTTGTGCCTTTCCTCCCCTGCCCTGAGGTGACATACAATGGTCATTTCATTGTCATAGTCATACTAACTGATCTGTATCAATTTACTTAGTTTTCAGAGAAAATGTAACAATCAGTGAAATAATTCCAAGGAGCCAGTATGGATCTGATAAGAACCCGGGCTTGAGCTTTGCAGCACTGCTTGGAGTCATACTGCTTTTAATCATGTAACAATTCTCCTGCTATTTCATCCCCAGCAAGCCCACTTTTACTTGTAGGTTCCATGCATGATGACAGTTTGGGGTACCACACTACTTAAGTAAGGCTTAGTTAAGATTCCTAAAACCCAGAGCTGATAAAGGTCTGTCCTACAAATTTAACATACAGAGATAAAGTCTAATTTAAATTACTTTGAACAGAAGGTTTCATTTGTTACCTAAAAAAATAATAGGGGGGAAAAAAAGACATAAAATGTAACAGGCACTTAAGAGCACTGTAAATGCAAGATTCTTCTGGGACATTCACATGGGAGGGGGGTAGGGGGGGGGAGGAAGCTACTTATTTCCCTTGCCTTTAGCCCGTCTAGAACTTAGACATCTAGCCCAGATTACTCATTTGTGCTTCCTTTATTCTTGAAGAATGAAAAGCTTCCTTCTGGAGGCTGTCAGATTTTCAAATAGGGTGAACGGGTTTCTACAGGGACACCAGACCCTCTGTAATCACAGGGACAGCCTAAGCCATCAGGTAATCACCTGCCACTTACACAGGTGAGACAAGCCACTCATATGAAGTAAAGCCCTAACATCTGAAGGCTTCACCTGGTTTCTGTACAGACAAACTCACCATCTTCACTAGGCCAAGGGGCTGCTTTTGTGCTTTGGGAGGCAGGGAGGAAGGTTTGTCTGCAGCCCAGTCTCACACTAGCATTGCTCTGACCAATGCCACCTCAAGCACTCCTTCTCAGCCACAACGGTTCATGGTCAATTTGCCCACATACAACAACCTGTTGGTTACACAGCATCATGCAACAAGGGCAAAGGGTGCAATGTGTTTTTCTAACACCCAGAGACAAGTGGAAGTAACTCATCATTCATCCAGACACCCAACTAGCTGGTGTCGAGATGTTCATGGGTGTGTATGCTACTTCAGCACGAGCCCCCAAATTTCTGTTGGGACTACAGAGGTTCAACAAGGACTAGAACTACTTTGTCAAGTAGGCGTTAGCCTTACATACACATTACAGTTATACAGCTCAACAAACAAGCTAACATAGATAAAAACTGTAGAGCCCACCTAGTAGAACAATATTTATAATCTACATGATTGTTTACTCTGGTATACCTTCTTACAACATAGAAAGAAGAGCAAGATATACGGTCAGATTCATCCTTATATCAATATAAAATTACTCAATTTTAAAAATCTAAATATAACAAAGCCCTAACAGAGTTATTTTTGTTCAAAATTAATCAAGCAAGTGTTACAGAAATAGCATTAGGACTTCTGCGTATACTTCTTTATGGGCAAGATTTGTTTCTAAAATAACCAAGAACAAGTTATACTTCATAAAAATAAGCACACGGTTCTTAGTCCCTAACCATGACAGCAAAGCTGCCTCTATCCTTCCTTTGCAGTGCTGTGTTTATCTATTGCTGTGCCCCCTAAATTGCAGGGCTGTCACATGTGAGTGGATCAGGTACTGACTACACTCTATCTGGCAACCCCAATTTAAATCCCTCTCATCAGGCCAGATCCACCTCTCTTAGTTGTATGCCAACAGCAGCAATGCCAGATAAGCAGTACCAGGCCAATATTACAAAATGACATGAAAAAGTGTAGCCAATGCATCTTCTACAACAGAAACCAGACAGCAAGCAGCTCCTGGCACACAGTGGCATGTAGGCCCCACCTATTCACAAACATTTTGGAAGGTAACTATAGCTGTGAGGCCACAACTGGGGTCAGGGGACTCCCCACTGCCCCCTGACACAGGCCGCAGAGCCAGGGGGTGACACAGCTGCCTCTCAGACAGAATAAACCTCTACGACATCATTCAGCCTAGGCCAATAACCTGAACTTCTGTCATTGATGTATTTAATTTTCCTCAGAGTGTAGCGACACAAAAGGGGCACGAGGGAAACACAGATGTAGCTCAGCAGTGCCTACAGTACTTGGTGGCAAGTAGCTGCAGGAGGAAGTGAAGCTTGTCCTCCCATCTTCTGGGGAGTTTTGATCTGAGAGGGTGGCTGCAGGGAAGGAGCCCACCTTCCACCATGACCTTCTCGGGGCTTACAAAGTTCCTAAGTGCCACAAAGGGCAGCAAGAACAACTCAGTCTGGGTGTGAAAACATGGTTCAGCTGGAAACAACATTCAAAGACCATCAGGTCCAAGTTCCTGACCACTTCAGGGCTAACCAAAAGTTAAAGCATATTAGTGAGGGCATTGTCCAAAAGTCTTTTGAACACTGAGAGGCATGGGGCATCAACTACATCTATAGGAAGCCTGGTTCCAGTGTTTGACCAGAAATAAAGGTTTTGGTCAGTCACAAGTTCCCCTTCAGTGGCACTTTCATTTCAAGGCACGGTCAAGTTTCACGCGGCCTCATCTTCCTCAGAAAGATGGCATTTCCCATCTTCCAAAAAGGCATTTCTTCCCCCAAAGCTACTCCCAGCCTCTCTGTTTGGTACCATCTCACTCCAAGAGGCTACTCACAACTTTTCTCACCTACACAACCTAATCCTCAACCAAGCAGCCTCAAGCTCCTTCACTTCACAGGGTGGAACTGCCATGTCCCAAACCCTGAAAGTCTCTTTTGGATAACTGCTACGATTCATGGAGCATCCAGGACAGCCAGTTGTGCAAGATCATGCCTAAGTATGCAATGTTAGTCAATTAGATGAGTTGGCTGCAGGTTTTCCCATTGTAACACAGTTTTTCTATTCTAGTATTATTTTTGGTTTAAAAAAAAAAAATGGTGGGGATGGGTGCTTTTTTTGTTGCTTTTCTTTTGGTAGTGGGGGTTTGCACAAAAGTTCATGCTTTTAGTGGAAAAAAAAATGCTTTTCTCTGTACTTTGCTCTTTATTTCTGTTGGGAAAACTTGAAACATCGTTTTTGTCAGAAAAATTATCAGTCCACGTCTGTCCGAATTCCTCCGGTGTCAGCTGGGAGCTCTAATTCACAGTCTGCACATCCCCCTTTCCCAGAAGGCTGGGCTCCTGGGCACCCCTCCAGCCTTCATGACGCACTCCCCCTTTGACTAACCCGCGGTAAGTGCACCATGGGATCTGACATCCAGCCAAGGAGCTCGGCCCCAGGGGAGACATGGCGCACAAGGCACTTTAATGGTAATTTCTGAGGTCTGCGACAGTAGCTAAAACTGATGCTGCTTTAAGGGTCAAATGGATTTAATTAAACGTTTCCATTCCAAAACGCTAGAACGTTTTATTCAGCGTTTTCCAACTGACAATTTCTCTCTTTTTTTTTTTTTTTTTAAATTTCCATTCCAGGAAAATGTTGGTATTTCAGCTTTCTGTCTCAATTCAGGGAGAAATGAAATGTTCAAGCAGAAGAATTTGATGCTAGATAGCCATTCAGTCTGGGAGACAGTCTTATTAATTAGCTGCCAAAATCATCCATCCATGCAAGAAGGGTGTGATCCAGTTTGCCTTTGACATCAGCGAAAACCACTTTTTCAGCTTCATGGAGCCTGGATGGCATCCCAAGAGACCTGGGGAGGGGTGTGGGGGTTAACTGTAGTTGAGGCTATTTGAAACAGGAGTCCAGAGTGAAACAGCAAGAATATACGAAGCAGCCAACTAAGATGATCCATTACCTGGGCTCAATCTAAACTCAGTTTTACTTACTTTAATGATTTTCGCCTGCTGTTACTCACCAAGATCATAAAACCTAATTCCCAGTTACAGTAAAGACAGCAGTTAATTAACACTTTATAGAGTAGAATAAATCTGCGATATGAATTTCTCATGAGCTCTATGGCTTTCAATGTTCAAAACATTTCCTCCGAAAACCCTCTTATACTCTATGCAAGGAGACTACTCTAAAGCTAAAGATACAAAACAGTACTGAACTGCTTGCTTCAGGTTGCCTGTCCTCCTTTGAACCCTGCAAAAATTGTTCTGTTGGATAAGCATTAAAGAAGCTCTGTCAGGTCAGACTAAGGTCTTGGGACTTCAAGCACATCTACAAATGGGAATCAGCTAATTGCAGGCTTCCAGGGTTGACACTGTGGATGGGGACTGGGCACCAAATCCATCGTCTGCGTTGCTCAATCTGCTCCTGGATTTAGCCCCAAGCCCTCCACCTCAAAGAGTAAAAGAGGAGCCACAGGGAGCCTATGTCCATCAAGAACGGGGTGTGTGTTGAAAGCAAGAAACACTCAGAACTGTAAATAAAACAATTCACCCAACCATGAGGGGTCTAGAGAATTGGTTTTTGTTTATCTTTCATTTCCCTTTAGTACAAGGCAGATGTTTCTAAGCAGTAAGCAGAAACCTCAACAATTTTTAAGACTGGAGAGGAAGGGAGGAAGGAAGAAACATGTACAAGCTTTGAGGATGTTCTTAACTCCAGCTTCAAAGAAAAAATGTATATCTGTAAAAGCAAGTTTTTCTTTAAGCTGTTTGGTAATTCTGAGTTCATAGGAGCATTTTATCCAGAAGGTTCTTCATGTTTCCAGTCTAGGTTGTAGCAATCTCAGTGAGGCACTAAACGTTAGGCTGTTAAAGTCTTTCTGTGCAGCACGGTCATTTTAAAATGATGTGGTAGCCATCATTGCTTTCAGCTGTAATAAAGAAACGCAAAACATTTTTTCATTGCTTTTAGAAAACAACACAAACAAATAACTCCAGGCTTTCTTAGGTAGTTTTCACTAGTTTGCACTCTTGTTCCACAACCCATTCATGACAATCAAATGTCAAAATATTTACAAAAAAATACAACATTGTAACCTTTTATCATCTTACCAGAAGGCCTTCTGCTCATTTATGTCAGTGGTATTTAAGTAATTATGTAAGTTTCATAACAGTGTAACAGAAGAAAACACAGATCAATCAGTAATTTGATGCATCTTCTTGACTTACATCAAATTGGATTAGTTTCCTCTTCGGGATACCAGCACTGAGTTTGTGATAAAGTTTAATCCCATTGAAAGGAGAAAAATATTTTTAGAAACATGTAGTAGGAGCAGCAATGCTTACCTTTTAATGTGCTGATAACAAAACAAGATTCATCTTGGAAGTTCTGCACCATCTGAAGGGTAGAAGAAAAAAGCCAACACAAAATGTTTTTAGCAATTTAATTCAAGATTCTTTCAGTGTCAGTATTGCCTTTAAAGAAAAGTTATCAAACAAATTCTGGTGTCTAGTCCTACATAGTTCTCAGTAACCCTGCCCATAGATCATTAAAAGTATATGAATGGTTAATTAGTGTCCTTACAGCTACTAATGTGCTTAAGAGAAACTTACACTGAAGTGCTTGCCTGGAACTGATCTGGCTTGTTCAGCATTTTACCCATCCTCTTTGCAACTCTTGATCCTACAAATTCTTACAACACTCTAGCTACTTTATTACAGATTATGCTCTTAATTGACTTGAACGGCACTATTCCATTTTAGGCTGGATAAACACAGACCCTCTCCTAAAATCTAGAAATAGTAATACACGCACACATCCACGTATTATACACACACATTCAGCAGAACCATGAAGCTCAGCTGCGTTTGTATTAGCATCTGGGATAATACGTAGAGATGGTCAGCCCTGAGGAATGAACGCCTTGTTGAATAAAGGAATGTTGTTAACATAATGTCATTTCAGAAGCGTCCACCTGGTTATTTTGACCAGAGAGTACTAGAGACGCTGTGCATGCATCTACATTTACCCATTTGTACTGTGTTGAAGCACAGGCATTTTAATGAAACTGCGAAGAGATGAGGCAGATCATGGTAAGATTAGTATCTAAAGCTATCTGAGTTATTGGTGAGAAACTAGCTATTCAGAACATTTGCAAGATCTAGTGAGGCCCCTAACTAAAAGACTCATCTAACTTCAGAACCAAGCTGAACCATTCACTTAAGCTTCATCCACAGTTAATGTTTCATCCCATCCTAGAGCAGCTGTGTGGAAGAGAGGAAGTGAATTACCTTCTGGAGCTGTCTCCTACAGCTACAGCAGAGAGTGGACACCTAACTTCAGAGGGAAGGTGACCAGAACCTATGATCAGCCCAGAAAATCCAGCTTTAAGCAAAACCCTTTCCCTAGCTACTGAACATCATTCAGTACATGCAGTAGAGCTCTTCCAGCTCTAAGTTCTCACATCAAACACCCTTTTCACCAAGACTGATCTCCCTATTCTCTTTTGGGTCTAACAGCCACCCCCTGCTCCCGCAAATCAAACTTGACTGGCCAGTCCATGTGTCCGTGTCTAATGATGCATGAAGTACATTCATACAGTGCCTCACTCTTGCCACTATGCTACTAAAACAAGAAAGAAAAAAAAAAAACACACACACAAAAATAAAGCAATAGACATTGTTAATAATTGACTTAAGTAAATAGTTAAAGCCTTATACCCAAGCTGGTTAAGGCAATTCCCCTACCAAGAGTTGCCTCCAAGCACTTTACATCCATAAAGCATTAATGTTTCAGATTTAATCAGGCTGAAATAGCAAGGAGACTTTAGGAATATGCATTACAGACTTCAATTTAGGCCCCAGTTGAGACCCATGCTCTGCTTCATTTGTTTTAACAATGTTCCTTATATAGGAAGCTTCCTAAGTGATTCTGGTGCATGAATGAGTAAGTCACTTAGTGGGGGAAAAAAGAGGAAGGGCAACTCACTATTAACCTACAAGTTAATGGAATGGACTAAATTAAGCCAACATATAATGGGACACAAACAGCTAGCAGAGGCCCATGAAATCATAGCGTGCATTTACACAGTGCTAACTCTGACCCAGTAGCCAGTCAGTCATTATGTGACTGTAGTCATTGGCTGAGATGTAAGACTAATTGCCCTAAAGATTTTCAAACTTGTCTTCTTCAAAAAGCTTTCCTATTCATTTTTAAAGAAACTCACTTCAGTTCTTCATTTTGGAATTTGTTTAAGCAGCCAAAATGAAAAGGAAACAATCAAGTATTTTTTAATCTCTTCTATAAAGCAAAAATCTTAAGATCACACCAAAATTAATGTTATGCATGAATGATATGCTTTAAATTATTTGTTTCAAGTGTTTGTGATTAGTGACCTTGCAACATTTTCTTGAAAATTCATGTCATACTTTAAAGGGTCATTCTGACTTCAAGAATGCAGACAACTGTTTTAGTTTGCTTTTATTTCTTACCTCATTGCTCACTAATACATGGATCCCTGTGGGTCCCTGCCGGTAGATTCGATTTATCTGCTGTGGAGAAATGCTGTACAAGTTTGCAATCTTCTCAATTAATTCCAAGGTGGTCAATTCTTCCAAGAAAATTGCATGATATACTGCAACAAGTTGAAAGGAATTACAGTGTAATTATAGGATAGTAATGACAGGTAACACCAAGATGCTCAATATCAACAACCGTATGGGTTTAAGATCAAGGTTCAAATCTTGACAGTAGATAAGCAAGCTTAGTACCTTCAGAGCAGGTACTAAGCAACTTGATGATTTGTAGACAAATACCTAACATTTGGGTACAGCAGGCAAATGGAACCCATGTCAGTTTTGCCCAGAGGAAATCATAAGGACTAATGACAACATGTATAATAGGGTACAAAAAATAATAATCCCTTATAAGGATGTCATTATTCTTATATGATATGCTTTACTACTTTTAAATTTTGACATTTTAAAGTAGCTCTGATTAAGCAGTAATACCCATGATAAGATGTTGTACAAAAGCAGTATTTTATTAGATACTTTCCCATTGACACCATAGGCACAAACTAAAGACTTCAGTGAATCAGATAACTGTAGATGACAATATTTTTTAAATCTCATCCAAATGGTAGGAACAGCCAGGTAGAAAAACTGTGTCTAGTTAAAACTACATGCCAGAACTAAGTAGGATCTTCATTCTCATGTAATCCTACTTCTGGAGCGTGTTATGAGAGACAGTTCAGAGCAGTGAGTCCTCAAAAGCTTTGAAATTCCAAGAATTAGAACCCCACTTTAAGACATACCAGCCTTCCATTTCCTACAACACTTTCAAACAAGCCATATCTACAATCAAATTGTGGATAGGATGGCAGTTTTTAATGCTACAGTAATTGTTAAGAACAGAACAGAGCCCTTATTATGTCATTGTTTGGATAGCTTGTGAATGTAGCCTTTTAACTAAGCTAACTAACCTAACAGTGTCAGAACAGCAGTAAGTATGACCTCTTCAAACACACAATACCAAGCTGTGCCATGCAGAAGCTCAGGAAGAAAGCATATTTTCAGACAAGTGCTTAACAAAACCCATACATAAAAACTTACCGCAAAGACTGCCATCTCCATTTTCTCGTTTTTGGTGGAGGTGGGACCTGTTATGCTCTGGTTCTTGACAGACATAAATTGTCATCTTGGGCCTTACATTTCTATAGATTATTAAAAGACAGTAGTGAGTTATTTAGATCTAAAATTGTTCCAGTCAGCCACCAAACAATGAAAGCTGGAATCATTCAGGCTGTGCATAAATAATCAACTAATTCTTGATGCTGGTGACTAAATGACTTAGGGAGGTCTACTAAGAGCCCCCTGGGAGGTGGTGGTAGACTGCAGAACACCTGAATCTCTTCAGGGCCAGATAAGAATAAACAGTATCCAACATTTGCAAAGCAGTTCATCGTACTCTCATTTATTGATTTAAATTCTAAGCAGCTGGAGAATTTATAATGTTATTGCCATCTAAATTAAGTTTTACAGTCATCTGAGACTCCGGGGTTGTTCTGTTTGTTACCTGTGATGGAGATACAAGATGAGGTACTGTAGGCAGCATCACATATGAGGTACATGGAAACTATCATCTGGTAGCAAATAAATCACTGGAAATCCACATTATGCTGCTTCATTTTTAACTCAGGTGAGTTTGGCAGCATTTCTGATCTGCACTTGGATTTGAATACCATTGTGATCTCCAGCCTTTAAGATGACCCTCTGAAGTGTTAAAAGGAAGTCTAAATGCTACAGCTCCAGGATTAACTTCTTGTTAACACTGAAAATATCAAGGGATTCTGCCATAACAAGAAAAATAGGAAGGAAGAAGTACAAACCTTCCTTTGATTGCATTAAAGAGCCGAATTCCATCAGCAGGCCCACAGATTTGAACAAAATCTTCTTTGGACATCTTCAGTAAGTCAGCACCTATGTATTTCAGATATTTTTTTTCAGAAGTTAAGCAAATCTTAGCTTCCAAATTTTGTGTATGGTAAGCAGGATAGGGGAGGCGGAGAGAATCCACAAAGCTAAATCAGGCAGACTTGCCTGGAGAGGTTGCAAATTGAGAGAGGTGACACTGCAAATGAATCATTGTAAAATAGAGTGCTAGAAGAGCAGTGGTCCATAGGAAGATATTCTAGACAATACTGAAACAAGCTAGCTACTTAACACTCTCCACTACTAAATGTCCCAATTTTCTTTTGCTGCCATGTTCACCAGGTTATTTAAGCATAATACAAGCAAGTCAGAGAAAGGTTCCTCAAAGTTTCAACATCTTAAATACTTCTCTCTTCCACCATCTTAATGCCGTATACAACTACTAATGGGAGGGTACAGTAAAGTTGGAGCCAGGCTCTTCTTGAAGGTGCACAGTAACGGGGCAGGAGCCAGCTAACAGAAGTTGAGAAAGATGGCAAATACTGAATAGGTAAAAGGAAGTAGCTTTTCATTGTGAGCATCATCAAGTACTTGAAGAGGTTACCCAGAGAGATCATGGACTACCTCCAAGGTTGGAGATACTCAGAACACAACTGCAAAAGGCCCTACGCAACCTGAGCTAATTGGACTTGTTTCAAGCTAATGAACTCAAGAAGTCCCTTCCAACTTCGCTTATTTTCTTTACTTCTACAATTCATGTTTTGGTAAATGCTAACCTAAGAACAAAGTAACAACCACACCAGATCCGACTAGTGATCCCATCAACAGTGGCCAGCAGCAGATGCTATTGATAGGAAGCATGAGCTGCACTTACAATTGAGAATAAAAACAAAATAATTGGACCATTCAAACTCACCCGAAAAACTTGAGAAGAGTCTACAGAATGGAGAGAACCTATTACGATGAAGCCACTGCTGGGCATCTTGAATAGAAGCAGAAGGAAGGAGATGCTACATTGCAAAAAGAATAAGAAGGTCTTGAAATGAACTGTTCACCAGTGTCCTAAAAAAGAAAAGCACCACATTAACATGATCTCAAATACTTACATCATTGCTGGGAGGCAGGAGCTCCACTTGGTGGGTTGGAGAACTGTTGCTAAAAAAAATTATATAAAGTTGGAAGAGAAAAAAACATTATTTTAAATTTTGCATTCAGTGCCCATCCTCCTCCCCCTTCTCTATTTAACTCAACTGTCACAAGTTACATATTGATTTGATTTTTTTCTCCATCAGATTTTTAAAAAGATTTCAAAAATCTGGACAAGTACAAAAAACAAGCAAACAAAAACTCCACAACTCTGCTTTTGTTGCTCAGTTGAGTTTCTGCTCAACGCTGAGGAAAAACCCCGTTTACAGACCTCATTCAAGATTTTCCATACAGCTGACTTACTAATGTGACCCCATCTAACCAAGCAAGTTGTGACCTACAAGTGTGGCTAAACTCAACCATTCTGAGCCAGAAATCCCCTAACTAAATCCATTGTCTAATAGTGATTCTTCACAAAAACAGAATAATAAGGGACCTTCTAAATCAGCCCTGGTATTATTTTAAACATACTAAACTGTAGTTTATTACACAACATTTCTAATAGACCCTCCCTAAACACTGACGGGACCAATCTTAGGTATTTCATTTATTTCTTTATGATGGCAATATTACTGAATTAAATATGCCTCCTGTTTATCCTTCATTCTTGAATGGCTTCTTAGAAACCTGACTGTTTTGCTCCAGACAGCTTCTTTAAATCCCATTCAATTGGGAATTCAGCACACTGTCCCAAGCCATCTTAAGTCAGAAAAGAAGGGAGAAATACCAACTCAGGGGCTTTCAGCATTCAGCATCTCTTCAAACGCTCTTGTTGGAAGATACTGAGAATTGCTGGAACAGGGCATAGTATGTTGCCTGACCCCCATAAAAAAGTAGGAGAACAAAGTTATGGCCGGAATTGCCCAGGTGGTTCTCTGATGCTCATCTCCCAGCCACCACATAATCAGTGGACATTAAGACCTCTGCACTACAAGGAATTCCTGCCTGTAAGGTCTTAAAACCTTTGCGTAAAATATCTTGCCCCTTCCAGGAAGGGTACTGAGAGGCTAACTGGTCCTTGACCTCTTTCAGGACATGAAATGCATGGATACACAAAACACACACACACAAGGGTTACTGAATCATCGGGAAAAACAGAGCATTTTATTTGTTACATACCCATCTCCAAGGTTGAAGCTGTTGGGAGAACTGTTGTAGCTTGGAGATGGAGCATTGTTCATTTGATAAGGCACATCTGGCCAGGGAGAGCACTGTTGGAAGAAAGGCAGCGGGGATACTTTCATGAGGTTGGAAATAAAGGATTCGATTCTCCTCTCATACCACATTCATGCTGTTGCCACGCCACTAACTTCAGCTCATCACTCCTGCTGGGAGGAGGAGACGGGCCATGGATCCTACGCTGCACTCCAAGCAGGCTGTCAGGGGGCCAGATTGATTCCAGTTGTGCATTCCACATTTCTCCCATTTCACAAAGCCTGTCCCCAAATAACACTGGGCCAAAGTGTGCACAGCTGTAAGTCAGAGCAACGCCAGTAAGTCAACTCAGACTGAAGGCAGCAATGATACAGAAATACCACTGGTCTCAATTATGAATCCCTAATTAAATCCAGGCAAGAGTGACAAATACGCTCCAGTGGCATTGCTTCAGGTTTATACCAGTGAAAAAGCAGAATTTGAACCAGCCTGTTAAAACCTCTGGCTATTAGTTGAGGAGCTCAAGTTATAAATGGATATTACATAGGGAAAATTTAAGACAAAACAGACATGAAACTACTAAAAGCCTTCACAAATACAAGTCAAACTCCATACTCCATCACAGTAGTATCAAGCCAGAGCAACTAGCTAGAATTTGTGACTTTGTTGTGAATTGATGCCACTGTAATCAGTAGAAGAAATCTAGCCCTGTGGAAGCCCCTGCCATCAAGAGCTCAAGAAAATGCTCTGTAGTATCCTTGTTTGCAATGATAAAAAGAAGACAAGCTGTAGCTTTGGAGTTTTATCATCTCCACATAGAGCACTAGCAAATATTTAACTCTTTAGCAACCCACATCTCCCTGTGCAATATGTCAAAGTGTATCAGAGCTAATAGCAAGAGTTTAGGATTTGCCAACTCAGGAGAATTAGGTCTGTGTACACAAGAGCCTTGTTAACAATCACCACGTTGAATTAGAAAACACACTGGTCACTCCTGGCACCTTAAGGAAAATTGAGTGGAACAAGCTGGATCTCACAAATAGGAAGTTTATTTACTTTAAGGAAAAAAAAAATCCTTGTTTTTAGAAGTCCAACACGCCACTTCAAAAATAAAAAAAAATAAAAATAAATCAAACTACAAAACACTCCCACAGGGAGATGGAACGGCACTTTTAAACTATTGTCTTGAGTCCGTTTGGCTTAGCAATTCTATGGCCTAGGGTGAGCTTATACATACATCTTAGCAATGAGGGGACTGAGTGTAGAAACACATGCATCTCTGTACCAGATGACAGTCATATCCACAGAACATAAGACATTCAGATATTCCTAGAGTACAAGCCAGAATATTCTGAGAGCTACCGTAATAGTAGCCTCAAAGGCACAATCACAGAAAAACAGATTGATAATTTAATCAGACAGCCTATTCATCTGTTGAACTGCCCCATCTCCAACATGAGCTTGTGCCAAACATTTCTGAAGAAAATACCTCATACAACTGGCATCTAAGTATCATGACAAGTGCCCAGGAGCATGGCAGAAGATAGAGAAAACATTTCTTTTAAACATAGGCTGTTGAGGACTGGTTTATGCTCTGAAACATAAGAAATTTTGGAAGCTTTTATAAACTTCAACAATGAGAGACACGTTATAATTTCACTAAGCTCTCGATTTCAGTCAGATCTTGGCATAAGAGTCTCCACAAGAATCTCCAAGGCTCAGTTAGACTGCATTTGCTCTGAAATCTGTTTCCCAATATGCTGAAGCAGTACAACATATGTCTAAAACATTTTACCTCTGTGAGAATAGTTGTCTCATAGGAAGGCTGATACTTCTCCTTCTCTTGGGTGGTCTTCTTCTCCATTTTTTCCCTGTCAGTCTTCTGTTTTCTGTCTGCTCCTTTAGGCTATAAGCACAAGCACAAGCTTTCCCTTATGCCAAGTATTAAAAGTTTGGAGACAGAAGCCAACCGATTTTTTCTGATCTGTTCACAGAAGACTCCTTAAGATTTATGGGGACTCTACATATGAGGCAAGACCAGATCTGCATTTTCCAGACAAAAAAAAATAATCTAACATCTCTACTGTTTCTATATCACCTCCCATTAATGCCTACTGCAATTCCAAACGAGGCTGACCACAATCCTGAGATTTGATACCAACAGATTTCAGACCACGAGCATACTGAATTATATACTTCAACTGGTATTTGCACCCTCTCTCCTGGAATAGGAAAGAGGCTGCTCACAGGAGCAAGAATTGGAGCAGCAGATCCTTCAAGACAATAACAACAAGGTTTTTGTAGGCTTAAGTTGCTCCAGGTCTGCCACACCCACATTAGAAGCTTTGGAGATGGACAGAATCATCTTTCTCTCCCCCAGGAATTCTGCAGCAACAAGCAAAGGTTATTTAAGATCTCCAGTTATGTTCACACTGTTCATGGAGGATTCAATCAAAGAAACTGGAGATGCCCATGCTGTCATGATTGCCTAGACACAATGAAACACAGTAGATACCCTGTGTTTCTTGTAATAAGTAACACAGTTACAAGTAACAAGTAAATTCTTGTAATTGTTTATTGTAATAAGTTAACTTAAAATGACTTAAACCAGTATCCCATATATTCCTGAGAAAGTGGACCATATAGGTTTTTTTGTATGGTTTCTAACACAACATCACCTTCAGGACACAAGCCAGTGAAGGGCACTGCCTTCTTGACACTACTTGTCTACATCACACAGAAATTTAATTTTTGCACTGACACCTATCCAATGGGTTTTCATTCCAACCAGTCAAGGCTTGAGTTGTTGGGTGGGTTTTTTTCCTCATTTTTAAGACATCCAAACAGCCCAGATCTCAGCGTTTGTATACTGTTCAAGGTACAGTGGACTGGCATTGGTTTCAGTGTGGCTCTTGGGTCATTTGAATGTAACTAGAATTGCTGTGTAGTTCTGAGGTTATGCTGCTTTGTGCGCAAGAGGCCTGTTTAAGATTTTAAGCATATCCAGTTAAAAGCCTTTGTTCTTTTATTCTGCAGTTAGCACCACTCCTACACAATTTACAAACTGTGCATGTTCTTGTGTCTTCACCTAGTTGATGATAAAGCCAAAACTACTTCATACCTTGAACACCTTGATCTGGCAGCTTGCAGAGTGCAAGTGTTCTGTGTATTCACCATTTTCATTCTGCTTAAAGGTGTCAATTTGCACCCGGAAAGGAACCCCCTTCTCTCCTCCATGTTTCCGTGGAGTAAATTCTGTGCTGATACAATGTACCTGGCAAAACAAAAGCTGGGCTTATCTCTGCAGACTGTTTGAAGCTGTGCAAAACTGAGTTTAGACTCCCTGTATTTGCAGTGTGCCTTAACATGAGGTTTTAGCTCCTCCCTAGAAACTAAAAGAGTCAGAAGAGTTCAAAATATTTTCACTTCTGTTCCCCAAGACAAAACAATTAGAAGAACAAGAAGCCTACAGAGAAATAGGACATCAGGAAAAGCATCCTCTGACTTAAGTAAATCCCACACACAGATTAAAAACACATAGTTGGCATTTGGGACAAGAAACACTCATGAACAAGGAAAGCAAGCAAAACTAAAAGGTTGTGAATGGTTTCCTCCAGACAAAACTCATGCTTAGAAAGCAACATCAATGTGCTTGGGGGGGGGGGGGTGTACTTTTTTTTTTTTAATAACCCAGATAGAGCAGATATTGCTTCAAAACTAGCAAGTAAGTAACTAGCAAGTGTCGTATAAACGAGTTATACATAACTGATTTTTTCCTCTTCTTCACATGCCATCTCTCTCTTCAGGTCTTTATAAGATACCTCACCTTTGTATTTACCATAGGAATATCACTTTTCTCTTACCTGAATGAATGCTGAGGCTCTCTTTGATGGATCCCACAGAAATTCAACAGTGTTCAGCTGTGTGGGGCTGGCCCTGGGATCCAAGATGCCAACTGACAGCGGAATATCTGTAGAAGAAAACCCCTAAAATTTTAAAAATATTACATTGAAGAAGAGAAAGCATTTCCATACAATTACAAGAAGCATGTGAAAAGCCAAGCCACCAATGATATCTGTTTGAATGAAATCATATATCTAGGACCTATAGTCCTAGATCTCCTTTCCTCTCAAGGATATACAGATTTTTCTAAGAGAAGAGGATAAAAAAAAATAAAATAAACACACCATACACCACGCAGCACCTCACTTCCAAACACTACACAGGAGCCATAATGAAATAGTCTCACCTATATCAAGGATGCGGTCCCCAGGCCGACTCCACCTCCAGCCCTCCAGTTGCTGATGCTCTGTGTACTGCAGGCGTCGATCATGGAATACTACACGAATTATACTCTGTTAAGAAAAGATGGCAAGGTGAACAATGTGATCTAGAAGCCCTTCTCTCGAGATGACTTTGGCTTTCCAGTGTAGGAGAAAAAGCTCATCTGTTCCTCCTACATGTTTCTGACCCCCATTCAAGAGGGGAGCAGAGGTTTCCCCTAAGAGACCCATTACCATGTTTCTCAAATTCCTAAGGGACCCCTGAAGCACGACATCAGCACACTTTCCCCTTCACAGGGCACATTTATACATCATAACATAGCCCTGTACAGCTTTCTGGGATTTGGTCTGGAAGCACTATAGCAATGTCCACCTCATCTTAGGTGTCATGCCAGGTAAACATCACTACATTGCTTCCACACCAAAAACGGCTCACGTGGGGGGGGGTGACTGTATTTAATGTATCTGTACCATGCCCCAATCCCAGTATATCCCACTCTGATGAGAAAATGTGAAAGCCAGCTCACCTGTCCCTGCACTGGTGGAGCTGACATGCCCAGACACCTTGTCAGTGGGAATTAAACTTGATTCCAGCCATTAACCATCAGCCATTGACACTGAATTTGCCTTTAACTTGTGTTTCTTTCAGTAAAAGCATGGATAGCAAGATGGAAAACTTGTAGTTAAGTATAGAATTGAAAAGCTACTGTAACAGGGGAACCTTGCATCTCTGGCCTGCAACGTTGCAGCCATGTCAATAACTGGAGACAAATGGCTGGAATAAAGGCAATCCCCATGGCAGACAAGTCCAAAGTATCCCTAAATAATAAATCCTGCATGAGTTAATAACCCCTGATCTCCCAGTTTCTCAATTCCCTGCTCCTACTGGGGACTTCCGTATCAAACGAATGAGCAATTTTTGCCAGTGAACCCGAGAAGGCCCAAATAAAACCCTAGCTCCAAAGCAAGCAAGCCACAGTGGGAATGCCTGCAAAATCAGAATCTAAATCTCTATGCTTCCTGAAATGGGCAAAAGCCAAATGTGCCTAAACTTGGGCAAAAGTTGAAGTCCAGATTGGAATCCAAATGTTGCAATTAAGTCCCAACGTCTCAAAAGAAATCCTATGGCAGAACAGCCAAGAATTTGGTAGAGGAAGGCCTGAAGGCTGGATCCAGAAACAAGATCTGGATCCAAGTTTTTGAATTTGAACTGAAACAACCAAGTTCTATATGTTCAAAATCATGTATATTACTGAAGTAAACTGGAGCTATGCAGAACCTGTGTGGCAGAGCGATGTAAACACCAGGGTCCTCCGCATGACACGTAACAACACAGGCGTGTTGCTCGGGTTAAGAAGGGAGACAAGCCTGCCTCTCAGCAGTTTTGACCATGTTCACCTCTGAACTTTGGGATTCCCCCGAACCCAATATTCACAGTGAAACTCTGGGGTCAGGATCACAAACAGAACAAGGATTCCCTTGAAGCCCTGTAAAGCCAAGCTGCAGAGTCCCGTGGAACTCCAGCATTCAGAGTAACTCCATCAACCCTGCTCCCATTAAAAACAATGGCAAAGTATTTTCCATTGCCTCAGTGTGAGCAAGGTCAGGCCCTTCAATAGAGGCTGTATGTAGTAGCAGGAAGAAAAGAAATCTATGTTTCTCCTTACCTTTACATATTTTGTGTTTAAATCTTGAAACTCTCCCAATTTCCTATTCTCAAGTAGACGGATTTCATAAGACTGACCTAGAGTTTAAGGAAACATTTCCAAGGTGTTTAATATGTTGTAGCAATGAGAGAGTCATGCTGGCATTTATGTGGCTAATAAAGCATACGTCTGATCAGGGAAAGTTCATTTTTGGTAACATAATGCATTTGCCCCAGTAATTGAGTAGGCAATAAAGCACAGCAGAAATCTGAGGGGGAGGTTTGTCTTTTGGCTGCTAAAAGCACTCAGTTAGGCAATCGCAGGCTGTCTCCAAGGGCTGCTCGGACTTCTGGTCACCCTCCACAACGTCACTGAGGTGTTCAAGGCCTTCCCCCCACCCCGTGCCACACAGCTTTAACAGCACTGCCTTCATCCGCCCCTTCTACTGCAGCAAAGGTTGGGTGAAGAGCTGCTGCACAACAGGTCCAGGCACTGTTCTGCAAAGGATAGCAACTTGGGCCAAATACTGCCTTCTTCAGAGCGCAGTCAGGTCTGCGAGGTGTTCCAGTGCACCAGCAATACCGGGCCTTAGGTGTGGCTGCCCACTGCACAAATACTCCTTCAGATGTGTGGAGCAGCAATGGATCTTACAGTATGTACAAGGGCCAATCCTGACCACTGGAAGGGATTCAGACTCAGGCACCCCACCACCACCACCCCTCAGCATAACGCTCTTAGTCTGTTCAGTAGAATTCGGCTAACTGGTTTGTGAAGCATCATCAAGTATCAAGGCTGACGGCAGACAAAGGAGATTGCTGTCCCAAAACCTTAGGCACAAATGGCTAAGACAGCCCAAAAACTCATTGAGTAGCACCGACTATACAATAAACCCACAGCTGGTACAGAGGCAGGACAGGAACATTAGGATTAACAAAGCATATATATACTTAATAGTTAGGTTAGCTTTTCTTGTTCATCTTGCTATCCCCCCATTACTGAAAAAAATGCACAGGTACAACAAGGCAGGCACCGAGAGGGCGATCAGTTTGGATCTTCTCAGTCAACCAGCATCTCCTCCAAACTGGCCCTGCAGAAAACTGCAAAGCAGATATATCTCCCATTGAGTAGTTGTTATCAGCAGACAAAAATGCTACAGTTCTGAACCTGTATCTAGAAATAAAAGACTTTTGGCAGGTGATGTATCAACAGGGCACAGCATTTCAGTCAGGTTCCGTTCTTCTGGGTGCTCCTGTGAGTGACCATATCACTAGAGTACAGAGATACATGTGCATACTCGGCCGGCTGGGGCGGGGGGTTGGAGGACAAGAGGGGCTATGTTGGAGCCTCAAATGTTTGCACAACACTCCTACTGATGTCAACAGGAGTTCTGCAAACAGGAAATGACCCTTGAATCCAGCACGCGGCTTAGGGGATGTGAAGGAAAGAATAAACCATATGAAGTGCCAAATTAAACACTGAAAATGAACTCAGATCTTAACCCATCTCTTTGCACATAAGTAAACCAAAGTAGAAAGTGACCTCCCTTTCAAGACTGCTGAACAATAGAAGCTGATGCTGTAAACCATAGCACTGAAATTGAGGTCTTCCACACTAACTCAAGAAACTCTCTGATGTTCCCTCTGATAGTGGTTATTATTCACTTGGCAATTTTAAGAGAGAAGTACATTATCTCCCCACAAAATCAATACTATTGTATTAGCATAAAAAGATCAGGCTCAGGTTCACAAAATCAGTGATACAGTTCATTGCCTAAATGGATTTACACAGCCAAGAATCTCTTGCACTTGCAATTTGCTCCCAAGCAAACATCAGGCTAATTAAACATTACAGAAAATTAGTTTAGGATTCAAGACCATGAGCTTCCAAGAGACAGTAGAATACATCTATGACTGTACTCAGATGGTGTAAAAGGACAGAGAAATGCCATGAACTGCGCTGCAGAGGCAGGCAATGCTAGAGCCACAAGCACTTCCAGACATTCAGTAAGCATCTCGGGACTTAGCAGTTTTTTGGGACAAGTTGATGCTCTGCTATACTCCTACTCTTTGGGCAACCTGATTTGCTTACTTGAAGTTCCTAGGAGACAGAAGAAAATAATCAGCATGAAAACATCGACCACATTCCCTTCAAACTAGCATCGAGCACTCAGAAACTCCTCAGCGTGCATCTTCCAAGCACTCACATGGGACGGGAGCAATTCTGCAACCCAGCGAACAACAAGCACCACACATCTCATTCTGACAGGAGTAGTTCTGCTTGGAATAAGTTAGAAACAGATTCTGCCCACTGGTAAGAAAGAAACTGTTGTGGAGACAGAGTTAATATTGAATGGAAAGCCAAATAGGAAGTAAAATGCTTTGATGAAAGATATATGGGTCATCTGATGTAAGCCCTGGAACTCAGTTTATGCCATGAAAAGCCTCATTCAGAATGGTATTTCATGCTAACTGCTTTCCCTTTAGCATCCCAATGTTCAACTCCAGTTACAACACAGGACCGTTATCAAAACAACACAGCTCCCAGCTGAACTTTAAACAGTTTATTTCACTCTGTGGAACTCTGAGTGAGAATTTGGTCCTAATTCCTCATACTTCCTTTGTATAAAAATGTTCCAGTATTGATTTTGAAAAGCTCATTCTCCCTATAAATTATTCCAGCAAATTCATTGCTTCATGGCTAATGTTACATGTAATTCATAACTCTAAGCTGTTTGGGATTTTTTCATTAAAAGCACTTTCCAAACCTTCCAAACCCTATGTTTCGCCCCCATCGCTACCAGCAAAACTCTTGAAATGGTAAAGTACAATGCCAATCCTAAAACTGTAACAACTGCAAGGAAGGAGAAAAAGAAAAAAAAAATAAAAATAAAAATAAAGAATCAGTGCTTGGATTCTGGAGAACAAGATTGCTTTGCAAAATCAACGGAACAACAGTGACCTAACCTGAAGAAAGCTGAACAGAAGTTGCCCAAGGCTCTGGTACACAGATCATCTATGAATCCTGCACTACTGACTCTGCAGCCCTAAGAGACACAGGCTGACAGTTTTCTGCACAGACTAAATCATTGTTACTTCAGTATCTAAATCTGTAAAGAAAAATGGATGCTAGCGTGACTAAAACCCCATCTTTCTGTCTTCAGTTCCAGACTGCAACTGGCTAAACTCAAAACATGGTGAGTTCCCCTATGCTGAATTTTTCCATCTGCCTCATTCATTAATACAGGTTAGACTAGATATTTCCAAGTCAAAGCTTGGTGGTAAAGCTGAAGTCAGGTGCTGATGCTGAGACTTTGCAATGATCCAACTGAACAGTCTGACCTTGAGCAGGGCAGCAGCCGGTCCTCAGCCGACGAGGGTTTGGTATCCACTGTGCTCATGTGGTAGGAAGAACCCTAAGAAAATGTCTGTGGTGATGGAGAGCAGTGGTGGCAGTTTCACAGCAGTCCCCCCTTTACCAGCATGATATTCACTACTGAACATTCATCTTAAACCCAGTGCTAAAGGTCAGCAACCTGCCGAAACCCTTTCCCCTCTGTGCTCTCAACACTGGCCAAAGCTGCACCACCAAGGGTTCACAATGGCCCCAGAGCTGGTGACCTACCTGGTCTCAGACACCTAAAGCCTGGTCTCGGTATCTTTATCACTACCTGAAATGAAGAAGGTGTTTTGAAAGCAAATCCCCAGCACGAGTGATGCCACAGCAGCCTCCTGCCTGCCTTCCTGCGCGACCTGGTGCGCCTCGCAAAGAGCTTGCCACAACCCTTCTTCCCTACCTCAGGCAGGGAACAGAATGGTAATAAATATTTGGATAACCACATTACATTCCTGAGATGCAATTTGTCTCCTGGCTTCGCTGAAAGCTTTGGGGGCACCAATAAAAACCTGGGCGGGTGATGATACAGTGTAATTTGTATTTTGAGCAGACAGTCCCTGAGCAACAGCAAATTTATGCAATCACCTCCTATGCTAGATTTGAGCAACTCTGCTTCACAAATACGAGTAATATCCAGCAAAGTAGTAACCACCCAGGTCCACAGAGTTCCTGCTTGGTGATTCATAAAGCAATTGTATCTATTCTAAAGAGACTATTTATTCTATACACTGCTTATTTTCTTCACTTCTATTGTCTGGCAATTAATGTACATTAAAAGCAGGTATGACCAATTAGTCTAGGGAGAACTGAAAGTCAACAATTTGCTGCAGCTGACAAATAATTTGGTTGAAAAAAGGAACGTTTTCACATACTCAAAAGGTACAAGACATAACAGTTTCAGACATCAGCAACTCTGGTCAGCTTCTGACCTTAAAAGATTATCCTAATTTCAAGCTCAAAAGTTACATTTTGTTCAATGATTATTTGCTACACAACCACAATATCCTGCTTTCTTTTTGTGTGTTTTGGTGTTACGTTTCAAGAGTCACTTACACTATGCATTTTGCGGTTTTCTGCACAATACATCAGTACGATACACTAATTTTCTATTAGGCAGCTGATGTTCCAGACCAGTATGACTCAAGCCTTACTTAACCTAGCCAAGTAGTCTGCTTGTCTTTCCAGCAATTAATTAAAACCTAACCTTATACTAAGCAGTATCTGCGACAAAAGTCAGTGGACAGAAAAAAAAAAAAAAAAAAGAAAGGAAAAGAAATGGTGAGTCCTCTTTCTCAGAACGGATCCACACAGCACTAGACAGAACCAGCCTGGAAACTGTTTGATTATTAAGCCAAGCTGACCAATAAAAATTCCATTTAGCAACTTTATATGGACATCCTAAACAGTGCACAGATAAAGGCAAAGGAATGCTGACAGCTGAATGCAGCACACAGAAGGAGGGGGGAGGAAAAAAAAAAAAAAAAGGGCAAAAAAAAAGCTTTTCTCCTCCCAGACCAAAGCGCATCCAGCAGGCAGGAGGATCACCTTTGAAACAACCAAATGCAAGTATTCAGGGCATTGGGAACACACAAAGATTCTTCTGACAAGAAAGATTAATGAATCCACAGAGTAAACAAGACAAGAGTGACTGAGCTGGCATCTGAGCTTGCATGCTTGATTGCCCACACCTTCTTAGCCTGACAAA